CCCGTGCTGCCTTTCTTGTCTTGAAATATAGAGGCGCTCGGAATGGATTTGTGATTTGTGGACCAATAAATGGAGAATCCGTGTCGTCACGTTTTAGTCTGTATCGTCCGGATTGCGTGCTATACCGAGGAAAACGCATTTCGCACGTTGCTATGCGAATGTTATCGTGTCGATTTGAGCGCAAGTTGGATGAGTACGCGTAGTAAATCGTAGGTAATTATAAGGCTAGTAAATAGACGAATTTGCTTGTTTATCTTGATGTCAGCACTTCGCTTCGCCTATTTCTACTCCTGATAATTATCTCTTATTTATTGAGCATTTTATTATCTAGGTAGCAATAGCTACATCACAAATATCAACAGACGTGTGTGTTTTTATTTTAACTCTCGTTTATAGATACACCAATATATATATATATACACTTTATATATATATATATATTAAAATATATATAAGGTGTAAACAAAATATTAACATGTAACATATATTATATATAACTATAGTTATTTATACATATATTTATACATATATGTATATATATATATATATATATATATACATATATATTTATACATTTATACATATATCGTTAACGTGCGTGCACACATACGTTCTACTGACACACATATTTGCCGCAGCAGCTGCGTCTCTGCAATTGTAATACATGCAGATTGATATTTCTACGAGAACGTCAAGCCTGTGATCAGCATGGAATCACGCGTCGTATGCATGTGTACTCTCAGCAAACAATATATTCATACCTGTTCGTATGTGTGGTACTTATCTAGTTGAAAGACCTTTGAGTTTGGGTCTGCTGTGTCGTGTGCCATTTGCTCTACGATCATTCTGCCGATAAAAACGTCGTATACTCTAAAACAACATCTATTGATTATGCACGAAATACCATTAGTAATAGAACGGTTATTCGCACTAGATTACTAGCGTATAGTAGATGAATCTCATACTGTTCCCGTTCAACTTCTTTGATCTTATTTCAGCACCACAGTAAAATGATAGCAAGTCATCGAAAAATTATAAAGCATTTTGCTTTAACGAAAGCGGGGTTTTCTGTTAGAGTTTCATATCTGATATACTATCTAAATTTTTGAGCGATAAAAAACTCGAAATAGTTTGTGGCCGCTCATCCCCGTACGTTCATTAGATGTGTTATAATGCCAAAATAAAATTCGGACACGTACTTATTTAGATCGTCGATGATGATTTCGAACGGCGTTTGATGCACTTCCAATATCCGGTAGAGTTTCCACCATAGTTCAGCACTTGCCAGCAGATCTCTGCCGCTAAGCGCCTCGCATTCCTGCAAAACACGCGCCGACATATATAATACATCATATATCTTCCGCAGCTTTTCCAGTTTTTCGTATTCGGGAGAAATATCCAAAGTTGTTCGATAGCCGTACGTTGCGAAATTACTCACGCGCGCGTACGAACACGCACGCACGCACACACGCCCGCCCACACACACTCACGCACGTACGCACACATACACTAATGGCACACACGCGGTTCGCATATATTTAACAAAATGTTACAAACATTGATGATTTTGATTGTCGTAATCTAACTTACCCCATTTTCCACTAAGTCGTTCATCCAGTTATTGACAATGTCTTGCTCAAACTCTAAGAGTTGGAATACTTTCCACCTGCATCAAGATTACGGGTTCGATTTTATTCGTACGACAGACATTTCGTTGTAAGGCTCACACGATTTTGCGAATATTACTATAATAATTTAACTAAATTAAACAAAATTAATCTAGAGCAACGATGGGTCATCACAAGCGCGATACGTGCCGATAGTTGCTTACAGCTTCGCGCAGATTGGAATTATATGACACGACATGACATCAATGATATGACATCACGACAGCGGAATATGTTTGCACAGAGATTTATGATCAGTATACGCGGGATAGAGATAGTGTGATTGCTATCAGCAGTACACGAATAGAGATTCTATTTATTTAACTCTCTATTCTAGACATTCTCTTCTTCATACTTTTTTTCTAGACATCCACGATTTCACTTTTTTTTCTAGCCATTCTCTGTTTTGCACTCTTTTCTAGACATTCTCTATTTCACTCTATATTCTAGACGTTCTCTATTTCACTCTCCTTTCTAGACATTCTCTGTTTTATTCTCTACTCGAAAGATGATTTATTCATGTACTCCTGATGTTATGATCAACCTACCCGGTATAATCCGTTGTTTCATTGTGCAGCTCCTGCGATGTACAATAGGCGACGATCAGTAGTAGCAGCAGCAGTAGTACACTCTCGCTTGCATGTCTCATGTTGTCTCCACCGTACGTCAACCGCGCGCCGTGCTGCCCTACCACAATTACTCAAACCCGCGCCGATTTGATTAAACTAACGTCACAGCTCGCGGCCGCGTAGCAAAGAAATATCAAGCTTTGGAAATATATATAGCAACGGCCACGTCGCTACGCGCGTTTCGCTGCGCATATAGATCTATGCCACGTGTGAAATATGAGTGAAGATAATTGCCGTGCGACCATTTCTCAACCGTCCGTGCAACGTCTGCGCGAGGTGCTGCTGCTGGTGACGTGTGAGCAGGCTCGGCGCGTGGTAGCGGCGTGGTCGTGGGAAGACCAGCAGCTGCCGATGTAGCGGTAGCGTATCGCGCCAACCTTCGGCGTGGGTTTACGCTCCTGCTGATAAACACGCGTTATCTACCGCGCACACGCACGCGTACGCGCGCGCGCACGCACGTACGTGAGCATACGGCGCACGCACTCTGAGCTTGCGTACATGCGACCAGTTCTGACCGTACTTCTGTCGTTCTATCCTCTGTCGTGGGTAAAATGCATATGCGTACAGCCACGCCTGTAGTCAGTACATCTAATCAGGTAAGTACGTTCTTCGCTGCGCAATCAAGGATGTTAGTGGAGACTTTATACGATGAATGATACAAATTGCCTGAGAGTTCTCGTGTCAGATTCTCTATGTGATAAGGCAAACGTGTATGTTGTGTGTGTGAGTGTGTGTGCGTGAGTGCGTTGGCGTTTGTGTTTGTGTGTGTATATGTATTGGTGTATGTAGTACATTGAAATACGTTGAATCACTACCACCACCACCGCCACCACCACCACCACCACCATCATCATCATCATCTTCTTCTTCTTCTTCTTCTTCTTTTTCTTCTTTTTTTTTCTTCTCCTTTTCGTTTCTTCTTCTTCTTCTTCTATTTTTCTTACTGTTATTATTATTATTATTATTATTATTTTAATTGTCTATCGATCATAGCAATCAATCATTATCAATCATAATAGTTTGTGTAGTAAATAATTCGTTTATAAGTTGTCATGCAATTTGATGGCTTTATAAAATTTCAATAGACGTATGTATATGTGATGCCAATATAGTGCTCAGCAACATCGGGTAATTTGCGTGAAGCTAATTTTAATTTTATTTAAATCATACGAATGCAATGCAATTTCATTTTAAACTCTTTGCCTTCCGGTCAAAACTCTTACACAATCTATAGTATCACGATTTAACAAACAAGTGATTATCCCAAGAAATAAAATGAATGATTATCCCTATTGCCGTTAGTATTGCCGTTATATCGAAGCACTTTACACCGACGATCAGTGGGTGAAGCTCTAAAACTGTTTTCGAGTGCTCCATTTATGCCCCGCGGGGGTGAATTCGTATAGATCTATAGGCCGTAGTTTTAGGGATGTACACAGTGAACCCAGGTGGCGTGACCGCGGCATGGGCCTCCAGGGTAACAGATCTCAACAGGGTTTTCAGACATGCAGTGCCTTATCAGTGCCGAGCAGTGGTTGAGCGGAGACGTGCAGGCGACATCCCAGGTATTTCCTTCGTAGTGGTGAGATGTAGTAGAGTGGCAGGATCCTGCCAGCGAGCTCACCTGTTGCGAGTATGCACGAGATGCTATAAGGAATGTATAATATTATACACTCCTGATCTTATATAATCAGGAGTGCCATAATATACTCCATGTTATGTAATAAATCATGCACAGGTAACCTAGGGCATACATTTTTGAATTTCTTGTGATTCGAGCGAGTCATACTCCTCTATAATATGCCACTCCTAATGATATATAATCATGTAGAAAAACGCACGATTAGACTATCTAAAATATTATCCCATCGTCTAAAAGTTTCGTTTATCGTAACACAACTGCATTCATGCCAAATAGTAAACGCGATCCATTGAGCTGTCAGCCAAACGAGGAAAATAATTAATTATTCAACAATCATGTTCCGTAAGACGCTATGAGCTTTACTACATATACTATAGCTTTGACTACATATACCAGCTGCCGGCCCATGAATAATTCCCCATTCGATGACTGCTAAAGGCCGCCGCACACCAGCCGATTTTACAAACGATGAAGCGATGAAGCGATGAAGCGATGAAGCGATGAAGCGATGTAGGTGTGCGGCGGCCTTAAAATCGGCTCATCGGCTCATCGGCTCATCGGTTCAAAATCAAACATGTTTGATTTGGAACGATCACCCGATAAAAATAAAATTGTCTACAAATGAACGCGCACACCTACCCGATATCGGCTGATTTCTATCGGGCCGATCAAATCGCGTGAAAAATCGGCTGGTGTGCGGCGGCCTTAACCAGGTGAATTAAATTTCGGACGCGGCGGTGGTTATATATATATATATATGTGAGTGTGAGTGTGAGTGTGAGTGTGAGTGTGAGTGTGAGTGTGAGTGTGAGTGTGAGTGTGAGTGTGAGTGTGAGTGTGAGTGTGAGGGTGTGAGTGTGGACTCTGTACATTTGAGGGCAGGTCAGTGTCAGTGTCAGTCTGTCAGTGTTCATGTCAGTGTCAAGTGTCAGTGTAAGTGTCAGTGTCAGTGTCAGTGTCAGTGTCAGTGTCAGTGTAAGTGTGAGTGTGAGTGTCAGTGTGAGTGTGAGTGTAGCATAACCTAATAAACGTACTAAACAGACGAGGATTAGTAGAGAAACAAAGGCGAGGTAGTGCAATGTCTCATAGTCAGGGCTCTTTCTGGATGTATTAAAGTTTGAGCCAAGACTTGAGCCACCAAAGTAATTTTTTAGCCACCAATGAAAAACTATAGCCACTGTTCACTTTATAGTATGTGCTAAGCAATGCCCAAAGTAAGGTGATGGATATGGAAAAAGAGGTGTACGAAAACATTTTCCGACACGACACTGCAATTTGACGATTTCATTATTAAACGTAATTTTGTGAGCAGTTAAACCATTCGCGATTTGTATTCGACACTTAATGTAGTAAAATCGCCAGATATTAATAGCCCTGATAGTTATGTATCTGAGCAGAATAAACAGATTTGAACGAGTTCGACACGCGTTGTAACACCGACCTGAATTCAAACATTTGTTGTTAACGCATACCAATAATCTGTCAACAACAACGACAGATTGTGACGCATACACACAGATTGTGACAGATTGAACATCTGTGCATTTGGTCGCAATGCAATAATCGAAATTGTTTCGGCCTGATTTGAGTGTGTTATTGTACCGCCTCATAGCGGTGACTACAATCGTTAGTTTAAGATCGTGGAGCGAGAGACAACAACAACAACAACGCGGCAAGAATAGTTTCTAACGAAGACGCCGTGTCGTTACTTCCGTTACGAGTTCTTGTTAAACCAAATCTCGCGTGTTGTAGGTTTTCACACAAATCTAACCGTCTTTTTCTGCACTCTCGCCTCTACCTCTCGTCTCGCTCGTATCTCTGATATCTATAGATATCTACCTATCCCATAAATATCTATATACTAATATATATAATATATCGATATCTATCTCTGATCCCTTGTGCCGAGGAACCCGTGACGCCTTCTCTGAACTCTGAACTATCTGAACTACTCTTGGCTACTTTCTGCTCTATTCACTGCTATATTTTCTTTGCGCGCACACATTTTATACAGCAAACATATTTTCTGCTAGGGGCGCCAGCGTCACCCATCGTATTAGCATTTGTCACTACTGTCTACGTACATGTTCGGCTTTATACTCGCGTAACGTATCCGCTCGCATTGCCATATATAGGAGGCGTCACTATTTCGTCTCTAGAAAAGGCCTTTTTTTGCTCTTTTTTTCGCAGAAATTCGGCACTAGAGTGCAATAATTTGCATTATGCACACAAGTTAGATGCCTCGTGGGCGTCTAGAAAGCATTAGAAGTAAAATTGGTCTTGTTGTGTATTCGTGACATTTCGTCAGGTGGCGTAGCTACATCGACCGGTTGGTCATTTTTGTGTTTGAAATGTGTTCAGACAACTTTGCAGAAATTCGCATCATAGAGCTGGCAAAAGTTTCGAGCGGAGCATAGCGCATGAATCTGTAGTTATTTAACATAAATAAAGTGTATGTTGTGTAAGCGCATTAACAGTGTGAGTATTTTTAATTAATTTCTGTTCGATGCTTATTCAGGCCTGCCGCCTATGGACGCCCTATACGGTTGTCCAACACCTATAAGCGTGCTTTTAATTCTAACTATAGGACCTGTGTGCGCGAGTGGTCACGCTAAACATGTTTAATCCTGGCTAGGCTGACCATAAATCACACAACTGTTTCTCGTCTATTTCTCGTCTGTGCGGCTTGTTCCTTATTACTCAGCGCGAGATATTCTCATTGGTTACAATATAGACGCTTATCCGAACGGAAATGAATGTTCTCGTTGTGTTCTTCGTTACTAATACTAATAGAATGTCGTCGTTTCTCGATGAGCTGAAACCGAACATTCTCACTTCTTTTTATCCCGTTTTCGCTCAAAGGCCGACGAAGACAAAGAAAACCAACAGAGCCAATGAAAAGTGCGCGATGAGAAGATGGCCTCGTCTCGCTCCCTGTCTCTCCCTCTCTCTCGCGCGCTCTCTCCCTCCCCTTCTCGCTCTCTCTCTCTCTCTCTATATATATATATATATCAGGAGCTAATAATGACAAATTTGTCGAAGAATTTGTCATTATTAGCTCCTGATATATATAATCCGCCGCGCGCGATCGTTCTCTCTTTGCTGTCGCTCTGTGATTCGTAAACGGATAAGATCGTGCATGGTTTCGTTCGTTTACCTGCAGAGGTTTGGAGTTTGTCGACCAGAACTGGGTAGCGTAGGTGTACAGTGACTTCAGCATGCTGCTCGTCAGACAGATATGACCTCCCGGCGCACAACCCACGCTGCAGCAATAGCTGGAACACATTACGCAAATATATAGGCCTATGTGAGCGCCGACAAAGGTAAACGCACAGAGAAACATCGGGGAGTACAATAATTAGATCTGACGTGACGACTTTTTCTCAAGAATAAATGATTTGTTAAGTGACTTGTCAAACATCTCAGTCGTGCAGCGAGGGAAACCACGTCGGCAGCTAGCGGCAGCGACTGTGTACGCGTACCATGAAGCGTAAGCCCGGCGCACACGTGAGTAATTTTACTCAAGTAAAATGATGCATGCGTCAAAATAGTCAAGTGTGCG